AATAATCTGGCCACTCTGAAACCCTTTCCCCCAAGCCTGTCAGCAGCGCTGCCCCCAGGCAGGTGTTCTATTTTGAGGATGTCATAGATGTTTCTGTTCATTTCCACAGGAAATTGCTGAACTCCAGCTCAGTTCACATTCCCAGGCTCTGCACAGACCTGTTTTCCCAACCCACACACAAGTTTGTATATAGCAATATTCCTATGACCTTTTCTGGAGAATAGAGCATTCTGGCTAAGGCCCATCAGGAATATCACTAAGATCATCTGAGGTCTTGCTCTGTGTGCCTCTGGTTAGGTGAGAAACATTTTTCTTCCTACAGCAGGAAATATGAAAACACAATGAAGTATGCGTCTGTGACTGTTTGCACAAATCGCCTGTCTCCATCTCCATCCGCATAGACTTCAGGCCGGTGAAAAGATCCTGGAAGGGAAGGCAGTTCTGAACAGGCAGAGCCCAGCCCTTCATTAGGCTGATGGAAAAGCACCTGGAGGACAGGGTGAAGTTTTGCTAGTGTATCTAATAAGACAGACACCAGTGCTTAGTTACTGAATGTGTGAGTTTAGTCTGTGTGACAGTGGGGCGCCAAGAGAGAAGGAAGCCATTTGGGAAATAACCTCCTTCCCACATTACACACACTCTCAGAGCCTTCAGGAGACCCCAAAGCTAGGTCCCTCAGTGTGTGCATTTCATAAAGCAAGCCCATCTCTGGCTTCAGGCTGTGTGTGACCTCGTTTCTGTCTTTAATTTTATAACTGGGGTGGAAAGCTAGCAGCGTAGTATGTCATGGTCAATATGTCAACCACAAAGCAGGTCCAGTGCTGCAGAAAGAGTCCTGTAGCCATTTGCTGCATCACCCTTGTAACTATTAGTGGGATCACTGGGGTCTGGGGCGCCTGTGTCACATCCCTGTGCCCATGGTTCCGAATTCCCTGACTACTTTTGAGAGTAGGGTTTATGTACAGTGATGGAGAGGGTTTCTTTCCGGAGTGGAGAGCCAGTTTTAGGAGGGGACTAGGGAAGATGCAGTGCCACTCTTACTAGCAGATTATTACATTTTAACAACTGTCAAACAGATTATCCTGGTTTTTATGTATTTATTTTTGTTATTTACTTATTTATCAGTATGAGGGATTGAACCTGGGGCCCCGAGTACACAAGGTAAGCAGTCTGTGACTGAGCTCCATCCCCACACTTTTCTCATTCCTTATTTTGAGAAAAGATCTAGCTAAGTTGCCCAGGCTGGGCTTGAACTTTTGATTCTCTTGCCTCAGCCTCCTGAATAACTGAGATTACAGATATATGCTACTGTGCCAATCCATCTTCAGTACTTTTCAAATGGGGAACATACAAGTCCACCTCTCAGTTGGGCTTAAATATTCCCGCAGCATCACTGCTGTTCCTAAAAAATGAGTTTTGTTGATTGTGAAATTGCAGTTGAGGCCCTCCTTTTTTTTTTTTTAAATGTGCCACTATTACATCAGCAACATAACAACCCACAAGTGTTTGGGACTTGAGATGCCCCTCCCTGCCCACCCAGTAACAAACAGGATCTCACTCAGATCTGAAAAGTGATGACTTCATTTGTAGATTTCTCTTTATGGTCAAGTTCACTGGTGAGGGGCTCATTTTCCCCCACGCTAATATTCAGGACACAGAATTACTTTTTTTAGTGAGTTCAGTAAAGATGGGCATTTTTCAGTCCTCATATAAGCTATATCCCAGGAGCAGTAGTATTTATCTTATGAGTGAATTGAGTTTTGTTTTAGTAGATAAGAGGTAAGAAGGTAATTTCCAGAAAGTGAGGGCGGCTGGGGAAGATGATCAAGACCCTAGTTTTATAGCCTGGCTCAGTCTACTTTTAATGTCTTTCTTAAATGGTCATGAAGTAAGAATTTGGGGGTGGATAGAGAGAGATGAATGAGTTAGGGAGTAAGCACAGGACCCCAAAGCTGTGAGAATTCCAAAGGAGGAGGGAGGGGACCGAGGTCTCCCAGGCTCCCCAGAGCAGACATCTGCTCACCCAGCATGAGAGGCTGCAGTGGCGCCCGTGGAATCTGCATTGTTACCTTCATTTTGCATGATTAGTAGCAAACACAGCGAAGGGAATTCACTGAGCTTCAGAACAGATGGTGGCTGGGCAACAGGATGTCCCTTTGTCTTTGTTTATTCAAGAATGAACCGTGTCTTTGAAAACACTAAAGTCATAACACAAGATCCTAATTGGATCTCTCCATCTTTAGGAAGGAGAACAATTGCTTTAAGCCAGTGTTTTTCAAACTGTGGTTGTGACCCATTAATGTCAGGACCTGGTTTAATTGATATCTGACCGGTACTTTTTAGTAGTATATAACAGAAAGACCAAAGTACATCTCCTAGAGTTTTGTGAATTTTTTGTTTCAGTGATGTATAAGGGATACGTACATGCAGGGAAATGTAGCTCTTTTATGGAACAAGCTCTAAAGAGTAGAAAAAATTCATTTATGGTAACTTTAGAAGGAAAAGGAGAACTAGTTATATGTAATTGGTACTGTGAGCACACTGCCCAGTTTTTTTCATGGGTGGTACATGTGTCCATGTTGTGTGTGAGATCTAATCCACCGCAGTGTACACAGCACCAGTGTGACACATCCTAGGAATAAGAAGTCATAAGATTCAGAGGTCCCCTTAAGGAAATATTGCTGATAATTTAGAAAATCTGATGAGTGAATTCTATAGCACCACATTAGGGTTCTTAAGATATAGACAGCTTGTTGATGTTGCCCTAAAATTATAAGTAAGTCCTTAAATATTTCTTTTTCACAGTATCTTTGCCCAAACAGAAGCCAGTCAACTCAGCAATAGTGGCAGAATTTCACATGGTTCATATTATAAAGAAAAAGTTTTAAGTGAGTTTTTAGTGGTGTCTGAGGGGACAAATTTCTCAAGTCTATGCCCTTACCAAAAACCTAGAAAAGCAGTATTATTGAAACTAAATGAAAAATGTTTTTGTGTGAAATTTTCCTGTCAGCCTTTAAAAGTCATTTCTGGTAACAAGATTAAGGCTAGAAAATGAAGGAGCCCTGTCTCAGGGTGCTGGAAAAGTTCTTCCCTAGAAAGATGTGGGATCTGAGGCTCAGCAATTCAGAGACAGTCAGACTGTTACTGGACATTTGTTAATATTTGTAAGATGCAGACCAGTGGGAGGAAAAAAGGGAGCAGATGACAGGTGTGGCCTTCCCTGGAGGCCTACCTTACTAGGCAGAATGTTCTGCAAGGCTGAGGACAAGGCCAACACAAAGCAAGGACTTTATCTTTAGTGACAGCGAAGCTACTGCCACAGTATACCTAACCCTCAAAAATCCTAAGGCTCCAGATGCTTCATACAGAGTGGCAAGCACCTGTGACAGTCAGCCTGGAAATGAGCCTCGCGAGACGCACAGAACAGGCAGAAGGCTAAAAGACTTACTTACGGAAGCGGAACAAGACAGGACTGTCGCATATTCCAAGGAATGTTTGCATATTCCAAGCAGCAGAAGGAAGCTGTCCGCTACTTCCTTCTTACGAGATCTGCCACGCTCTGTTTCTGCTTCCAGCAGTCCCACTGGAGCTGATGCGGATCTAAAGTTGAAAAACTTGGGTTGACTTTGGCTATGTCCTCTGCCACTTTCTTAGGGGTTCACCTTATATTGGGGCTTGCTAAATCTTCCATCCCGAATGTCTGGGATTTGCTATTTATGTAGCAGTAACCTGCAGAGGCTGTATTTTTACTTGACTAAAAGAAAGGGATCCATAACATCTGTCAGCATAAAGTAAGCCCTTCAGGGAACAGAGGAGCAATCTAGACAGAAAAGGTCCCCAAGAAGCCCGGTACCCAGTAGAATGCCTGGCACATAGTATGCAAGTAATCATTGCTGAGCAAATATATGATGATGACTTTGCTGAGAGTATCAGGCCACAGCCTACCTGCAGTGCTTTGGGCTCTGAAATGACAGACTACTGTCTCATCTGTTAGCAATGGTATTTAATCTTTCTTGGCCAATGTTACACTTAAATTTGATTCATACAATAAATATTATGGAATAGTAAATATCTTACATATCCTTTTTGAGTACCTTTTACTGGCCAGATAGTCTTCCTAGAGTGATGTTAAGCCAAATTGCATTATTCCCAACGTACATGCAAAGATTTACAAAAATAAAAGAGAATCATTGCATCCGAGTTATAAAACCAAAAGATTCCGTAATGATTTTGCTGTACAAAAGTGGCGTACTACGATTAACCATCATGTCAGCATCAGCTCCTCAGTTGCTCTATCCTTTGGATTTTCAAATTGTTTTTCTTCCGTCCTACATATGACAGTTCAATTAATAAGGGATTATGTTTCCATTAATAATGACTGCAATACCCTGTAAAACGTGAGCTAACACTCTCATCAGTTTTTTCCACAATTATCATATCAATGCTTATGAGAACCCATTTTCAAAAGAAAATTCAGAAACAGCACAATGGAAGACAAAAATCTCATGAGTAACTGTAGTGTAAGAATTAGCTGAGAAGCTTGTATATCATATCCTATTATTATCATTCTCAGTGGCTGAATGCTAATGAGTTTCACTGCCTTAAAGCTATATATTTTAAAATGTGATTAAAACGTACAGTCTCGCCATAAATTTAAATGGCTTATTAAAGGCCTTCCCATGGCATCCGTATCACATGTCAGAGATGAATAGTGTTTCTAATTTGCTAGCCACTTGGGTCAAGTTTACTTTAAGCAGGAAGCATATTTATACAAGTAATGGTAACAGAAATGGTCTCTTGGGAAAAGCTGTTTGGGAGGATTTAACTTTTTTTTTGAAGTATGCTTTTGTATGTTTTTCTAAATGGGCATTATATAGGCATTGGGCCAAAGTGCCTTAAAATCGTGTTCCTTGATTCAGGCATAACTACGTGGATGCTGCCTGAGGCTTAGGGGGCCACCTGGAGTGTATGCGTTTATGATGAGGCGGAGGCTGGGAGGCTCAGGGATTTAGCCACCTTTATTTGAATTTCTTTAGGATCTGCTCCTTACAGGATGTTGGGGAAAAGCAGAGGAGCTGTAGGACCTGGGAGGCTGTTGGAAACATAGAATCTGCACTCAAACCAAGTTCCCAGGTGAGCTGTTAGCACGTCAGAGAGGGGAGCCCATGCCAGAACCCCCGAGACCTCGGCTTCTTGGTGGCTAAGCACAAATGATGGTGTTACCCTCTCTGTGCTTGTTTCTAAAGTCATCGCTTTTAGAGGACAGCAACCCCTCACTGCTCCCCACTCCCACGCCCAGACCTGAACTTTCCAACCTCGATGTCATTGCTTTTGCTAAGAACCACGTCTAGTGCCTGCTCCCCCAGATGTCAGAAGCTTCTGGGGCTGCTCGTGACTTTGGGAAGGTCAGCGGCATGGTTCAGCCTGCTTTCCTGTGGCTGAGCCGCTCCACCTTCACCTTCCTGTACTGGGATCCACCTTTCTAAGCTGCTCGTCAGCACAGTCTCCCTTTGCAGTTCAGATCCCTCTGCTGTTCAGATCCCTCTGCTTGATTTCGCTGTCCTTGTTTCTGCCGTGGAATGCTGCCTTTTTCTAACCTGGACATCAGTCTGTCTGCTAACATTTGTGGACTACTGTAAGGGGAAAAGGCAGTCAGGGTAGATGTTTTGGGGACGTCAGCCAAGGTTTACTCAGCAGCAGGCGGTATTAGGGTTTCTGGTGAGCCACTCAGCAGACCTCTTGACACTTCACTCTGCTCCGCCTCTGCATTGAGAGGTGGCCAGCAGCAGGTGCCCGGAGGCAACTGGACACCCACATCCAGACCCAGACTGGCCAGTTGGCCCCGAGGGGCAATTCAGTCCTTCTGTCCCAAAATGTGCCAGGGTAAAGGGCTCTGCAAAAAGTGAACTGGGCATGTAGAAGTGCACTGCTTACAAATTCGGGCTCTGTGGGCTGGGGTTAGCACAGCCAATGGTCATGGGAACGTTCTGGGGTCTACCAGGTGAGGACCTCTCAAGTCTCCTCTGGAGTGATCAGTACCCAGAGCAGATTTCTCTAATCAGAGACTGGCAAGGGGAGGAACAAGATTGCTTTCTGGCCATAGTGAGTCCGAGGACCACGCTTGCAGCTTCCGTTCTTCTTGAGGCCAACAAACCAATTCTTCTCCACATGCTTCTTGGATGTGTAGGTGTTGTAATGGTTTTCCTCCAGCCTTTCCAGGAACAAGCATTCCTCACTTGGTGTCTGCTAGAAAGATAAAACCAAAAGAGGGTACCACGGTTAGGGAGTAGCTTTCAATGAAGTTCCTTGCTCACTAGATGTGTGACCTTGGAGAAATTACTGAAGCTCCCGGTGTCTAAGTCTTTTCTTCAGAAGAATGAGAATAAGGAGGGAACTTATCTCAGGGAATGGCTATGAGGGCTTAGCTGGGGGACCCAGAATATAATGAGTTTTCAACACCCCTCTGCTGTTGTTATAAGCCCCCTTATCTTCTGTTCTCAGAACTGGAGAGCTCCAGCTGGGGAGACCCTGTGAGCGAGCGCTGAATGCCCAGGGCAGGCTTGGCCCCAGGGATGGCTGTGGACAGACACTGGAAACAGGTAAAGTTACACTGCAGGGCACTGAGGGCTCCCAGCTTCTCACCCTAGTGGTTTTCAGTAACAGTTGCTGGGTTTTACCACAGCACTGATACGTACATGAATGCTGGTATAAAATTTGTCTTCCTTAAAAGACGTGCAGAGTTTAAATGAAATTTTAGAATAACTATCTTTTGGTACTTACAAATAGCATTGTATTTTTAAAAGTCACAACTTTGCTTAAAAACAAAACAAAACCACCCCAAAACCTAGAGGCAATTGTATAACTGTAGTGTGTGTGTGTGTGTGTGTGTGTTGATGAGGATCAAACCCAGGGCTTCACACATTCAAGGCAAGCACTGTACCTCCAATCCACACCCTCAGCCTATAGTTAGCTGTTATCAGTCAGGAGCTGTGTAACAGGAAGTCTCTTGCTTCTTACTCATTTACAGTCTATTGAAGTGACATCTAGTGAGCCACATTAGGTCCCTTTGGAAGGAGATGGGATATAAATATAGTACTTAATTGGATGACTCCGTTCCCTCTAGAGGAACTTGGTTCAGACGTTAGCTGGGTGCACAGAGCTAGGTAAAAGGAGGGACGGTGTGGGTCACCTCTGCCCTGCCAAGGAGGGCTCCCCCGCATGACGCCTTCCGTGGGCGTCGGTCTGCATTCTGTGACCAAGGTGAGACTGACCACACTCTCCACCTGATGTCTCTCTCTGCCTGGAGGAGTTGACACGCACACAGCGGCTGAGTCACCAGCTGAGGGGGCAGGCCGGCTCCACGGCAGCCTCGGCCAGGATTTGTCAGCACTGGCACCAGGCAGGAGGGAACCGAACCGACTATTGATTCATGCCTATTGCTGTGTCACTTTCCTTTTTTATATTTAACGTGCTGTCTCCCTGATTCTTTAGGGGACATATACTCACTGCAGGAAATTTAGGAAACAAGAAGACATTCATACATTGTAAAGTCACCCCTGACCACACCAAGATAACTATATTAATATTTTAGGATATACCGTTTAAAACTTTTTAAGAAGACAAATACACCCTTTCTACACACACACACACACACACACACACACACATACACACACACACACAAACACAGTTTGAATTAGAATGGGTTGATACCTAGAATTTGCTCAGGGCATGATGCAGAGCTTGGAGATACTTTGGAACTTGTCTGTATCAATGAGAAAAATGTCATCATTCTTAGGCACAGTGCACTAAGATCAGAGTCCAGGTGAAGTCCCTTGATGGCCAGCGCCATGATGAGAGGGGCTCCCTGGGATCCAGAGGAAATTGGATTCAAAGATCCTTCCTTAATATTTTATATATCTAAGAGAAGGCTGTAATAAGTAGCAAAATTGATTTTAAAAAAGAAAAAGCCATAAAATGGAAACTTATAATGTAGGGCACACTGAGGTAAGGGGCTTAGTGCCCCGGAAGTGCCAGTCACTCCAGGGGCATGTTCTGAGTGTCCTCTCACTGAACCCTCATGCTCCATGTGAGGTGGACACTGTCTGTCACAGCCCTACTTTAGACAGGAACTCCAAGCGGGCAAGTAACTTGCCAGCGTGGCAGATGCATGTTGTGACTCTGAGACTGTGACTGGTTGATTGATTTTATTATCGACCTCAAAAATAACCTTAAGTAAAATCTCCCTTCGTAGAAATAACTGTGTATGCTCCAAACCCCATCTAGTAGTTCCCCTCACTGTGAATTTCAGTGAACAGCACATGAGGGGCTCCTAGTGCTCTGAGGAGCCGGTGTCCTGACCCCTAGTGGGCAGCAAGGGGAAAACAACTGTATTCACATCCTATGCCCCCCTTTGAGACTGGTTCAGGAGAGGGGCACCTGTGCCCACCTTCGCTTGGCAGTTTGATGCAACTCAGAGGACTCCCTGGAAGAAACTTGGCCTACTGGTTGCATTTAGTGGACATCTTTATAAGAGGCAAGAAGGGGTTAGGAAAAAATTATGAATTTCTATCAGACCTTTAGCTCTCAGCTGTGAGAATACAGAGAAGGATCCTGGAAATCCAGAAGTAATTGCAAATCTCTCAATTACTGGCTTCAGCTCTCTCTCTCTACTTACATATCTGAGCACAGATACAAAGAGGGGCAGAATCAGATTGCCTGTGTTTCTCTTCTTTTCTCATAAAGACCAAATATATAAAGCATTAACTGGGGCAGGGCAGAAGCAGAGGCACAGGGTTCTTGTACATGAGACTGTACTTCCTGACATGGCTCATTCATCTTTACATCAATTTCAACACCTGAGATGGTACTTAGGTGCTGTAGGAGCCATTTGGCAAATGTTTGAATTTAGTTACTACATTTTTCATTTTTGTAGATGCTCCTTCTAGAATAAAACTATTTCCAGAGTTTTAATATAAGACATATAAATTATTAGAATCTGGGCTGCTGCTTTTCTGGTTTCTGTTCTGTGTTGCCCCAGCTGGACTTGAATCAAGTGATCTTTCTGCTTCAGCCTCCCAAGTAACTGGGACTATAGGTGCATAGCACCATGTCCTGTTTGGGCAGTTTTACAAAAAGCATTAAGACACACACTCATATCGTGTCGTAGGTTCTCAAGGAACATTTTGGAGATGAACCTAAGGTATAAGGTGGGTTGAGATGTGCCCTGACAAGTTGTCAAAACATGAATCAATGTTTCCTTTCTGTCTGTATGATAATACATGTGAGTATTTTGAGTAACTACCACAAGAAACTCTTTTATGTTTATGCCTAAAATAAGGCAGGGCAGAGGGTAGGAATCCTACTGGAAAAAACAACAAACAGAGGCTAATTGACGCTTTTTAGTTTGGATCACTTGGTGTAACAAGATTTGTGGAAACCTCAAACCTTGGCCACAGCTGGAGGCATGTCAGCTTCGTACTTACTGAGCCGTATAAAAGCCCGTCGGTGTCCATGGCCAAGTACTGGCCGGTCTCGGTGCTCTGTATATACACCTCCCCCACGCCTTCCGCACTGAGCTGCAGCTGAACTGGGATAAAAATAACACACACAAAAGTAAATAAACACTGTGCTTTTGCAGATAGGGCCCAGCAGCCAGGACAGTTGGCCATGGAAAATTCTGCTCATTCATTTCGTAGAGCCCCAAGGATGAGCCTTCAATTAATCAAAACACAGACAAGCAGTCCCTTTCTGCTTATCTTCCAAGGAGAGCTGTCCCTGTGAATTATGGCCTAAAGAGGAGGGCTGACAGTGCCTGTCTGGCCTACCTGTCCACCTGCTTTGTTGTGAATGACCCCAAATGACCCTGTAGGCACCTTTGCATTTCCCCCCTCGGATAATCACAGGAGGATATGACACTTGCTTCCCTGGTTCTGTCTCTGTCACCCCGGTGATGCTGGGGTGCTTAGAGTGTGGAGCTTCCCAGCCTGAGTGTGTTGATTCCGTTGTCTACCTGCTCTAGGGTTTGTTTTATGGCCTCATCTTCAGGTAGGGAGAGAGTCTTGCCAGCGGATTATTATTTTTTCAGACAGATCAAGGAGTTAGACCTCTTGTCACCTGCGGGATGCAGGGAGCTCATCCACAGTGAAATTCAGCCGACCTTTTAACTCTAGTGCAGCCCACCTGCCATCCAGGTGCAGTGAGGCAGGGAGCCCAGCTCTTGGTTAGGAGAGTGAGGAGGTTACCTGGAAATACAGTGATGAGGGTACTGCTCTCAGCCGGGGGCCGTTGGGTTTCACGGGGACATTGGGCAACATTTGGAGACTGTTCTGGCTGTCACAACTGGAGGGGATGGAGGATGCTTCTGGCAACTAATGGGCAGAGGCCCAAGGATGTTGCAAAAACAGTCTACAGTGTATAGGGCGGCCCCTACAACAAAGAATTAGTCAGCCTCAAACATCAGTGGTGCCAGGTTGAGCAACCTTGAAACTGAGGGCAAGGCTGATTGCTCTCTGCCACGCAGTTCCCCTGTGCACTGTCTGAAACTCCCAAGAGGTCTCACCCATTGCTGGGTACAAAATTGGAATCCAGGAACCAACTGATAATTATGTTTTTGCTCATTCACTGCAGAATACCTCTGAAGGGAAGTACTTTCATGGTTGCATTTGGGAGTTGGAATTACTTCTGGACTTTTCTATACTAGTTCTTCAGTCACCAGACTGTCAAAACCATCTTTATGATTGGGAAAGAAATTAGTCCAGCAACCAGTGACTGCTCAAGAAATGCTTCTCTTGAGAGAGAAAGGGCTTTTCTAAGGGTCAGCTTATCAGAGAGCACGGGGAGGCTGGAACACGGCTTGTATTGCCAGCTGTAGACCTCTCATGGGCTCTTTTTTGTTTTCATTTTAAAATTTGATTTCTTTGACTAGGAAGGAAATCCATTCATCTGTTTCATAGTTGGCGACAGTATCAGAAAAGGCAGTGGAAAATTCCCTTCCAGCCCTCAGCCTCTCACCACGTAGCAGGGAAGGTGAGTGTCAGCTGAGGTCCTGGCCCTTTGTGTGTGAGCGTGCACACGTGCACATTCACCTGTGGGGAGACAGACTCAAAAAGGGGTCCCTTTTGGGGACATTTTACCAAATCCTTCTAGAGACATCATATACATACATACATTGTTACCAAATGATATCATACCCTTTATGATTTTTTTACACACATGATAATATACTATTCTCACAGCTCTGTATCTTGGTTTTTGTTGTTTTTGTTCGTTTTCTGTTTGTTTGTTTTTGCTTAAATATGTCTGTACTGAAAAAAATATGTCTTTTTTTTTTTGTCAGTTGAGTTGTGTTCCATTATGTGGCTTCACCATAATCATCTGACCACATCCTTATGGATATACCTGGATTTTCTCATTTCCCTTTGTTTTCCTTGCCTTCTGACTCATCCCAAGGGTAATGCACAGTTACATCACCCCCACTGGAGACGCAATTCTCGACCCTCGGAAGTCTGCTCCAGAGACCCTGGCTTCCTCCAGCTTCCTGTGATAAGCAGAACTTCCTGAATTCCCAGGAAGAGTACTGGAAGCCACCGATCTCCTTTCCCACAGGGCCTCCCCTACCTCTCCTGGGTTAGCCCTGAGAGTGTGGTCATGGAGAACAGGCTGACAGGACAGCTCCTCCACCGGGAGCTGGGCCCTGCCCGCTCCAGCCTCAGATTGCACAGCTTGCTGTCTCTGTTGCTCTGCTCTGCCTGCTTGCCCTCTTCCGTGCACCGAGTTCTCTCCTGCTGCAGGCCTCCACTTGCTCTGCACTCTTTCTGGCATCTTCTTCTGCATATGCATAAGCCTGCTTCTCCTCTTCCCACTCTGGGTCTCAGCTTACTTACTCTGTCCTCAGAGAGGCTCCCCTGCGTCCCTGATTCAGGACCCCAAGCTGCTCTGCACAGAGGATCCTTCATTCCCACCCCACCACCCCTGCCAGAGCCTCCCCAGGCCCACGTCACTTTCTTTCTCAGCCCCTTCTTTCTTTTGTAGCCTCTAATGAACAATTACTTTATTGCTTAGGCATTTGTTCTTTTATTTCTGCCTCCCTAGGAGAAGGTGCACCCTGAGAGGAAGGGCAGGGACTTCGTTTGCCCTAGGTCTCCTTGGGGCCCCGGCCCCTTGCACAGCAGGCAGGTATCTATTTATGGAATGGATGATGTTAGGCTAATGTTGGTGAGAGCATTTTGCTGGGCCATCATCAGTAAGCTGTGTGCTTTGTGTCCCCAGCAATGCAGTGTGGAATGAAGTGAGGAGGAACCTAGGCGATAGAGAGGTGCGAAGCTGGAGGCTGAGCTCTGCCCCTAGGTGCCTTGACTAGGCTCATTAACCACTCTGGGCCATAGCATAGTGGTGTTTGGGTTTCTTCTCTATGAAGTTCCTCTCAAGTCTAAAAGTCCTACAGCAGTGCCACATTCAACAGAGCATCATTCCTTGATAAAAAAGAATGAAGTACTGATACATGCTACATCAGTGTAAAGTAAAAAAAAAGAATAGCCAATCACAGAAGACCACATATTCTAGTTGCACAAAAAGCCCAGAATGAGCAAGTTCATACATAAAAGTAGATTACTACTAGCCAGGGATTGAACAGGGGTGGGGAATGGACATGGATGGACATAGGGGAATTATGATAAAAGGCACAGAGTTTATTATTGAAAATGTTCAAAATTGATGGCAGAGATGGCTGCACCAGTGTGTTAAAAAAAAAAAGTTGTAAGCAAAAACACTGGATTATACACTGGCAATGGGTAAATTATATAGCATGTGAATTATATCTCAGTAAAGCTGTTTATTTTATTTATATTTTGGGGTTGAAGTGAATTTATTTTCTTGTTGATTTTATGCATCAAAAAATCAAAATTAAAGGTCAAAGGAAAATAGAGTAATAACTACTATTATTATCTCAGGAGTTTATGCAAAGAGTTTCATTTGTAGAAGAAGAACACTGGAAACGTGGATTCATTATTTATCTTCCAATGTCATCCTTTTTGCTGTCATATATGTATTAAATTCTTTTTTTTAATTTTAAAGAGAAAAAAAGCACAGAAAAATAAAAAAAGCAATCAAGCAAACAGACAAAGAAAAAAAAAGCCAAACAACAACAAAAGCAATAGTGATACAGGATTTCAAAACAAGATGATAGGAATTTAACAATGGTTGTTATATTACATATTGTTACCTTCAATATCTTCAATTGTTACCAGATACAGGCATGCTGAATTGATCAAGCAATATGGTTTGCCTTTGAGCAGTTTCCTTTCCTTTTACCATATCTATTGTAACTTTTGGGTCTTATTTACTTTGTTTCTTGCACTAGTGAGACAATACAGTGTTTACATATGCAAGTCTGATTCATTTCGCTTATGAGTATGGTTTCTAGTTGCATCCATTTACCTATAAAAGCCTCGAGTTTATCCTTTATAGCTGAGTGGCACTCTGTTATATAAAAATACCACATCTTTTTCATCCATACCTCTTAAATGTCCAGCATTTCCATTGGACTTCATGGGTTTTAGAGAACCTTCCCATGTATTTTAAAAATTAATTTCTCTGCATAATCTTGCATGTGTGAGACAAAGGCAAGAGGAGAGCCATTGATTGATCACTCACGTGTGTCAGCCATGCTGTTCCTGCCTTGGTATAAATAGTGTAAGATAAGGGGTCTGTGGGCTCTAGACTCAGCCACATAAATTCCAGCTTTGGCTGTGCTGTGCATTATCTGGGTGATCACTGGGAAGATTGTTGACCTGTTTCCTTGCCTATCGATGTAGTTGTTATGCAGATTAAATAATCAAATGCATGGAAAAAGGACAGTGTGATCATTATTTGCTCCGTGCTTATGTCACCTCATGCGGTCCTCACAGCCTTCTCTGGAAGAAGGCAGCACCTCCTCCAAGCCATAGGTGAGATGCTGAAGTGTGGCGGCAGCATATTTTATTCAAGGCTGTTCTTATAAGAAGGTGAAAAATCATGACCAGAACTGGGTTTGAGTTCTTCAGTCACCCTACCTTTTCCTCTCAATCACACAGTGTCTTAGGCTCCAATTAAGGCTATGTGGTCCAAACCTGCTTGTGCCCCTTGTGGTCAAGGTTAGACGTGTGCAGGATGCCAGGTAGTCCCTCAGGGCCCCACTGGTAGTGGCCTCTCTCATGGAGTGGGGGGACACTAGTGCCTGGCAGTCTTTTCCACCTGCCATTTATGTGTGTGGGTAGTTCATCAAATACACTACAGTGCTGCCAAGATCCCCAAGGATAGGTCTTTTTAGCTACTCAAGGGAGATTTTTAAAAAGCTTTTCATGCCCTAGCTCCCTTCTGTTCTGCTGCCTTAGGTGGTGCCCAAGCGTCTTGCCATGGGGCTAAGTGGAGCTGCCTGTGCCCTCTGTTGAGTCCTCTCGTGGCCATGGAAACACCTCACACAGGCGGCCAGAGCTGCAGCTCTGCCTAGCACAGAACTGCAGCCCCCACCTATGAGCCCCAACACCAGGGTTGTTGGGCTGATGAGAGTTCGTCTCAAGAGTTTCCTCTGTAAATATTATTTCTCCAGGA